TATATCATTGTTGTTAAAAAAAAATTTGATCAGACTTCATGGTCTTACTCTTTAGTAATAAAAATTTATAGGTATCTGATGGTGGCGTCCACAGTCACATCAATCACCTATACCATCTCTTAGAATCCGCAAAAAACTACGGTATACCCAAAGCTTATGTCCATTTCTTTGGTGATGGACGTGATACAAATCCTCGCTCATCAGACAAGTATCTCGAGCAACTTCAAAACTACATAAATGAGATAAATTACGGAGAAGTTGCCACTATCGTGGGCCGATATTATGCCATGGATAGAGACAAGAGGTGGGAGCGTATAAAGGTTGCTTTTGATGCTTTGACTTTGGGTGCTGGTGAGAAATCTCTAAACCCGTCGTCGGTAAGATGACTTTTTTGATTACTGATTTTGTCATAGCAATAACAATTTGATTACCTAAATTCATGTGTCTTAAATAATGTATAGATAATTGAAGAACGCTTCAAAAAGGACGAAACTGACGAATTCTTAAAACCTATAATTATTTCTGATGAAGGACGTATTCGAGGTTCAATCTTTTATTATTGCCTAACATATTAAAAAAAAAAGATTGTTCACACAATAATTATATCATTTGATTTTTTTGTAATTTAGATGGAGATACTCTATTCTTTTTCAATTATCGTGCCGATCGCATGCGTGAAATTGTGCAGGCTTTTGGAATATCACCGCCGCCATTTGAAGCAGATGTTCCGAAAAATATTGCAAGTTTTTTTATTTGGTTTCATTTCTATTTCCATCTTCTATTTCCATCCTTTAGATTAAACTCTCAATGAATAATATGTAGAATATTACATGTATGACTAGATATAAAAGCGAATTCCCATTTCCTGTTGCGTTTCCTCCACAAACTATGGACAATGTTTTAGCAGAATGGCTTGCAAAGAACAAGATTCCACAATGTCACTGTGCAGGTATTATTAATTCTTATCTCACCTGCTTCATAATGGGTTTGTAGTTATTACAAAATTTCAACGAATTATTCTATTCACCACACCGCATAGAAACCGAAAAATATGCCCACGTAACCTTCTTTTTCAACGGCGGCGTCGAAAAACAATTTGATCTCGAACACCGCGAGTTAATTCCCTCCCCTAAAGTTGCAACCTACGATCTAAAACCCGAAATGTCAGCCGCCGAAATCACCGACAAAATGATTGAACAAATCTCATCTGGCAAGTTTCCGTTTGTGATGTGTAATTTCGCGAATCCGGATATGGTTGGACATACCGGTGTTTACGAGGCGACTGTGAAAGCGGTTGCAGTTACTGATGAGTGTATTGGACGTATTTATGAAGCGTGTGAAGCGCATGGATATACTTTGTTTATCACGGCTGATCATGGAAATGCAGAGCAGATGAAAGATGATAAAGGAAATCCTCATACTGCACATACTTGTAATCCAGGTAAATTTTCTGTTTGGTATTATATTCTCATATTATTATTGCTGTATTTCATTAAATATTATCCATTGTTATCCTGGATAGTACCGTTCATTATGACATCCAAAACTTATAAATTTGTGGACAATGCTGATGGAGCTTTATGTAGCGTTGCTCCCACGATTTTAGATGCATTGGGTCTTGAGATTCCAAAAGAAATGGATGGTAAATCACTTTTAATAAAATAAAATAATTTAATTAATAGATGGTAAATTTAGACATATCCGAATGGATTGTAATTTGGCATGTCAATATTTATTTTTCGCTATCTTTAAAGCTGTAATCCATTATAGAAATTATTAAAGATTCGCATTTTGTCTTTAAAATTCATGGAAGATCAATGTTAACGTTTCGCGTAATCAGCGGCTTTAAACTTAAACTTTTCATCATCCACTAATACAACAATGATAAATTTTGCAAATTAAACTAATTTAAACTAATATAAGCGATTATTTAGATTAAACATTCGATTAATTCTAAAATTTTTAATTTAACGAAATTTATTTGCAAATCCCGTGATTCCATAATTTTGTCATATAATGACAATCATACAAATTGTAAATTTACATCACAAATTCTTTGTGACAAACTCTAAATTATCTTATGACAGGTTTCAACTTTAATTTCCCTTCAAACCTGTTGTAAAACATCTCACAATATCTCTTTATTAGATCTGATGATGACACAGCTATCTATCTACTTCATCCTATAAGTATTTAATAGTATTAAGATTCAGAGATTTGGCAGATCACTTGAGAATATTGATTTCATTTTCCATAAGCAAGGCTTAAATAGTAAACATCTTGTATTTAGATAGTTGTCATGCTGAAATACAACTTTAGATTTCTCAAGATTATAGATATCAATTATTTTTAAAATATTCTTGAATAGAATTTGCTTATAAAGATTTGTACTTATATTATTATCAATTTTGCAAAGATTTCTAATTTTATTTCAAATAAAATTATTTCATATTATTATATTTTTACTATCAAATTTCATTATTGGCTTTATAAATTTATTTTTTAATATCTCTTTATTATGATATCAATAATATTATTTATTATTTGATTCAAATAATTAAAATTTACTTTTATTTAATCAGATTATCTTTTAATATTGTTACCTTTTTGGTGCGAGTTCTGAGGTGAGGGCGAGTATTAAACCTAATATTACAAAAACACGTGATAAAAGCGA